CTCTCTTTCTCTCTCTAAAAAGAAAAATATCCATTCTCTCTCACCCAAACTCCATTATCATCTTCTCCAAAACTCCACCTCCACCCTTCCCCTCTTCCATCAAGTAAGTTTCTCTTCTCCCCTCTATTTCTTCTTCTTAATTAGAGTAATTTAGTTTTGTGTTAGTTTTAGTAGACCCTAGTTAGGATTAGTGTTCAAGTTTTAATTTTTGCTTTCTTTTATATTTTCTATTGTTGTATTTGATGCTTGTGGGGTTGTTTAGTGCTAATTTGGTTGGGTCTCCATGATACTTTAATTGTGGGGGTTGTTTTGATGACTTGGAGGCCTAGAAAATATTTTTGAGGTGTAGCTTGGTGATGGGCCATTTTTGGCCGAAAATTGGGGATTTATTGTACAATTTTGAGGCATTTTATGCCTAACCTAGGTTGTGGCGGTGTTGTATTTGGTGGATGGCGGTGTTGTAATTGGTGTGTGGTGGTGTTGTATTTAACGTGAATCACTTGAGGGAGTAAGTGTGGGGTGCTGTACGCCGGAAATTGCAAGCAAATTGTGGGGCCTTTGTGGAGGTTGTTATCCTTGAACACCTTAGTAGTGGGAAATGGGCACTTTGTATGAATGAAATAAATGGGGGCAAGTGCATGGTGTCATCGGGTGGTGAAGTCTGAGTACCCATCCAACTGGCACAGGAAGAATATATTTGATGGTTCTTCTGAATTCTTTGCAGGTACTATGGCTCCTAAAAGGCAAAGGAGGTCGGCAGGCGCATCTCAACAGCCTACATATGATGAATCCAGGTTCCAATCAGAACTAGCAGAGGACGACTTTAATGCCAAGGCTACGAAGAACTTCATCCATGAGATCTCGCTTGATCGGGCAGCCCTCCGCGTAGAAAAGGCAGAGATGTATGAAGAAATTCGGAGGAGGGAAATGGAATTCTTATTTGATGACCCTGCCCCGGTAAACAAGATGCTTGTTAGGGAGTTTTATGCCAACTGCCATTGAACTTAAGTAGGGAGGTGATTGTGCGAGGCAAGGTGGTCAGCACCACAATTCCCATGATTCGCCAGGTGTTGCGGCTGCCTCAGTTCACTAGTGACATCGACTACTACCACGATAGGCCAGGAGTCACATGGGAGGTCATGACTGATATACTCTGCGCAGAGGAGCGACCAACCTGGATACGTGACCAAATTACCCTGAACTCCAACTCATTCACCCACCTGGCTAAGTGTTGGTTAACTGTCATCTACAGCCGGTTCCTGCCCTCAAGCAACACAACTGACGTGAACTTCCAGCGTGCACTGTTGACATGGTGCTTCGTGACGAAGAAGGATTTTGATGCGGCAAGGGTAATTAGTGATGAAATAGTCCTACGGGGGCCGCTGCTGTCAAAGGGATTCTACTTCCCTTCTTTGGTGACTACACTATGCCTGCTGAGAAATGCCCCCACCAATCCTGCCGATGGAGACTTGCCCCCTAAAGCAGCATTCAGAGCCTCAGGCATCAGAGTGGGCCGGGGTACACGTACAACAATTGAGATAGATGATGAGGATGATGATCCGGTTCCTCTTGCACCGTCCAGGAGGTCTACTGACAGTGCCGGACCCTCTCGGCGCCCCCATACTGGGGCAGGCCTATCCCGATCACAGTCCACCCGGCCTATGCTGCGTTCCTTGGAGGAAGAGGTCGCGGATCTCCGCACCTCGGTGGATGGCCTACACATGCGGATGGATGCCATGTCGCAGAGGCAGTCCAGATCTGAGAGCCAGTTTATGGCCTGGTTACGTGCATTGGGGAGAGCTTGTAATGTAGACCCCAGCACCGTCTCCGACTCTGATTGAGTCTCAGGGAAGTCTTCTGACCCTTCTGCTCTTTACTTTCTTGATATAACATGGGGACATGCCATGATTTTAAGTGTGGGGTGGGAGACTTGCTCTGATTGTGTGTTGTAATGTATATAGAC